CATTCCTGCCAACAGGTCTGGCACTGCCCCACGAGCCCCCACACCAGCATCAGGTGACCCCACAAGCCCCGACGCAGCTTTGAGAGTGACCAGGTCAGGTGTCCCGGTGCCCAGCGGTCCTGCACACTCTCAAGTAAAGCGAAGAGTCTGAGAAGCCCAAGGGTTCCCCTGGGCCCCTCTGAGGACTGAGCCCCAGACAGTGCTTAGCGGGACACACCGACCCCCACACGGAGTCCGCAGAGACTTACTTGGACACAAGGACGGCGGCTGCATCTCGGGCCTTGTCGCTGACAACCAAGTAGGACTACGAGAAAGGACAGGGACAGTCACACCCCAGGACGTCACCCTCAGGGACCCCACCGGCTACCAGCACGCTCACCAGCGCCGAACGCCCAGGCTCACGAAGCTCAGAGGTGGAGGCCGCGACTGAAGTCATACCAGCTACTCTGAGCCCCAAACCCGTACCCCACGGAACCGCTGCCCTTCCCCAGTCGGGGCCTGACCCCCACAGGGCTACGGCCACACGCCAGCAACTGCCAGACCAGAGCACACGTGGTACACGTGGACTGGGCAGGTGCAGCCACGGGCACAGGTGCAGCCACGGGCACAGGCCGCGTCATATCTAAGTCTTCAGACAAGTGAGGAGGCCTCGCTCAAGCCAGAGAGGACAAGATTTGATACGAACACCTAGGTCTTTTTGCAGACCTGCCTTAAGAGTTTTCCTGCTTTCTTCCCAACTAATTCTTCTTCCAAACAATACGCTTAAAAGATGTTTTCTTTTTCCGGGGCAGCTTTTCTGAGAGCAGTTACGTATGGAGTGCCAAGTCTTTAGAAGCCACACCCTGGGGCCAGCAGGTGGCGTGGTGGTCATGGTGCTGGACTCCCACATGGCTGACCATGATTCAAGTCGTGGACCCAGTAGCTTGCTTTCCCTGTCTCTCTCTTTCTCTGTCTCTGTCCAGTCAAATTAAAAATAATAATAACAACAACAAATGGAGTTAAATAAATTAATAAATAGATCTTTAAAAAAAAAAAAAAAACCACACCCCTGCAGCCCAGTAAGCCCACTGAGTAAGCAAAAAAGGCTGTGTGGTGGGGACCAGCAGTTAGCGTAATGGCTATGTCGCTGGACTCCCATGTAGTCGACCACAGCTCAAATCCTGGTCCCGGTGGCTTAAACTCACACCGGGCACGTGTGCGTGCGTGCCCAAGATCCCGAGAGAAGGGAGGAGAAGGGATTGCGGCGTGGCCATCCGCCAGGGGGTGATTTCTGGCTTTCCCTCTCTGTCTCTGTCTGTCTGGTGAGCGCACGCGCCCTATAGCGAAAACCTCTCACAAAAAGGCTGTGTGGAAAGTCCGTCCTCGCGCTGTCAGGATCACGAGCCAGAAAACACGTCCACTCTGAGAGGATAGCTTAGGACTTACAGCACGACGCAGCGCCTCTTCCTTAATGACTGTGAAAGGGGCCCAGCCACAGCAGTGCACCACTGAGATGCTGTGCCCACAGCTGGGGCCACATGGAGAGCCCAAGTTCAATTCCCGGTACAACCTGCAGGCCGGGCACAACGGCAGGCACCTATGTTCCCAGAATCTGGGAGGCTGAGGCAGTAGGTTAATGAGCTTGAGGCTGACCTGGACAACAAACCTTGTCTACGAAAAGCAGAGCCCAGGGCCAGCAGCAGCGTGGTAGTTAAGGGTGCTGGGCTCCTACATGGCCAACCACAGTTGAGTCTGGGCCCGGTGGCTTGCTTTTTTTTTCTCTCTCTCTGCCCCTCTCTGGTCAAATTAAAATACACAAATAAATAAAGTTAAATAGGGGGAAACAGCAGTTAGCGTAATGGCTATGTCGCTGGACTCCCACGTAGTCAACCGTGGTTCGTGTCCCGGACCCAGTGGCTTAAAACTCACGCCGGGCGCGTGTGCATGCCTGCCCAAGATCCCGAGAGAAGAATGGAGGAGAAGGGATTGCGGCGTGACCATCCCCCCTGGGGGGTGATTTCTTGCTTTCTGTCTCTATGTCTCTCTCTGTCTGTCTGGCGAGCGCATGCGCCCTATAGCGAAAAACCTCTCAAAAAAAAAAAGTTAAATAAAAAATAATTTTCTAAAAAAAAAAAAAAAAAGAAAGAAAGAAAACGAAAAACAGAGCTGGGGGCAGCAGGTGGTGTGGTGGTTGCGGTGCTGGACTTCCCGTAGCCGACCACAGTTTGAGTCTCAGATCTGTCTTGAAATTCACACTGGGCTCACATGGGTACATGCCCAAAATCCCAGTAGGAGAACGTGGGGAAGGAGCTATGGCGTGGCCGTCTCCACTGACTCAACAGAGTGAGCTGCCTGCCGGGGGACCTCACGCCAGAGCTGAGTGCAGCCTCCGTCCAACAGCCAGCCAGACGGCAAGGCCTTCAGGCCAGCCAGTGGCATGCCACCTAAGCAGCTGGTCCCACATGGCTGACCGCACAGTTCAAGACCTGGCGGGCTGAAAACACACCAGGAGCATGGGTGTGCCTGCCCAGAACCCCAAGTGACCGTCCCCGGTGGTGCTTTCTCACGCTCTTCTCTCTCTCGCGCTCTGGTGAGTACACAAACTAGGGGAGTGTTTTTTCCAAAAAAATAGAAGGGGAAAAAAGTGAGGCCCTCAGCGCAACACACAGGAGCTGGTGTCGGCCAGTAGCCACGAGCTCAGGTGGCACCTGCCCAGGCCGAGGCCTGACTGCAGCTATGGGAGGCCGAAAGCACAGCAGCTGACAGAGCCCCGCACTCCCACCTCCAGCACGAGGCAGCAGGCCCTGTCCTGCAGCCGCTCACACCTGGAGGCGGCACTGACACGGCAGGGGTAACTCAGCGGCTACGCCTGGGGCACGCCCGGACGCGGGGGTCTGGGGAGACAGGCAGAGCGCCTTCTCAGCACTAGCACGTGACAGGTCAAGGCTAGCGTTCCCTTCTATCTCCTAGTTCTCCTACAACGGTCGCGTATTAGTCAGCATTAAGAATTAAGTGTAGGGGGACCAGCAGTTGGCATAAAGGCTATGTCGCTGGACTCCCATGTAGTTGACCATGGTTCGAGTCCCGGACCCAGTGGCTGTGCATGTATGCCCAAGATCCTGAGAGGAGAATGGAGGAGAAGGGATTGCAGTGTGGCCATCCCCCTGGGGGGTGATTTCTCTCTTTCTGTCTCTGTCTTTCTGGCGAACACACGTGCTCTATAGCAAAAACCTCTGAAAAAAAAAAAAGAATTTAACATTTGGGGGAAAAAAAAAAAGAATCAAACATAGGGGGCCAGCAGATGGCGTGAGATCTGGAATCTCAGATCTGGAGGCTTGTTTTCTGACCCTCCCACCCCTATCTAGCTGTCTGTCTCTCTGTCTCTCTCTCTCTCTTCCTCTCTCCCTCTCTCTCTAATTAAAAAAGAAAATCAAATTAAAATAAGTAAATAAATAAAGTTAAATTAATTATTTCAAAAAGAAAGAAAGAAAGAGAGAGAGAGAGAATTAATTAAACGTAGGGCAGCCAGTGTTGTGGTGGTTCAGGTGCCAGATCCCACACAGCTGATGCATGATTCAAGTCCCAGACCCAGTGGCTTGAAAAACGCACAGGTACATGTGCACCCGGGCCTGAATCCCAAGAGAGTGAAGACTGCAGCATGGCCGTCCCTCACTTTCCTTCTCTCTGTCTCTCTCCCGGGAGCACACATGCCCTATAGCAAAGACACGAACTAAAACCAGAAATGTAACATGAACACATGTCCTCTCTTATCACTGCCCCGAGTCCTCTGTGTGTCACTCACGCTGGACAGAGGACTGGCACCATCGACAGAGCACAGACATTCGGCAAGTAATTCATCCCGACCCCATATGAATCCCTTCCACGACTTCTCTTTTCTCTTTTGCTTTCATATGCTGTAGGGTGTATGCACGTGTCAAAGGAACAGAGGGAGACACTGAGGAGCCAAGGGAACCCGCCCAAGCCACAGCCCCTTGTCTGTCCTCTTCTCAGGGTTTCGGGCTCATGTACCAAGCATGTTTCTCAAGTGGCCTGGTCCAAGATTGAACCATACTGTCGGCCACGTGGCATCCAGCCACCTTAGCCACCACATCCCCAGCTGGATGCACAATTTCAAGGCATGTCAAAGTGAGATTCTACTTTACTGAACAGCAGTAATAGCAGCTGAAAAAGCACCTGATGTCAAACGCACGTGCGCTGACAAGCACTTCACTGCTACCAAGTCACTCTGCTTTTCCTTTCAAGAAACATTTCTGATGTCATACCTACGTGAGCTCCAACACAAGAGCACAAGCAGGTCCCACTAGCAGCTGATTACCTGCACAGACATACTTACCTCGGCTATTTGGAGAATGCGATCCATCACGGGCACTCGTGTTTGCTCAGGCTGGGTGAGGAGGTCCCCATCGAGGCGTGAAAAGTCGAAGGGGATCAGGCAGATCACAGAGAGCCACAGTAACAGCATGTAGCGGGTTTCCCAAGTCTAGGGGACAGATCACAGTGACAAGGACTTTCTACACAGGACACAGAGGCAACGGCCATTGTCCCCACAGCTGGCCCCACCCTGCCCACTCACTGCCCAGCTCAGGGCCACGCCGGCTGGGCAGACCACCCAGAGCTGCCCAGTGCTGCCAGCATCCCCACGTCCCACTGTCACAGCCAGCGCTGACTCGGCACGCGACAGACACCACAGTGAAAACACTCGGGATGGGGGCACCTCCCCACACACAGACCACACATAACAGGAAAAAGAGCAGGTAAAAACACTTAAGATTAACGAAAACTTCTCAAATTTCAATGAAATTGGCAAATTTATTTTCAGTAAACAAGATTCCTCGGCCCTACAATCACTCCGCAGGGAAACTAAAGGACTGAAGGGGAGAGGGAGGAGAGCCCAGAGGAGCAGGGGCTACAGTCTTCCCCTGTGACCAGCAGGGGCTACCAGTCTTCCCCTGTGACCAGCAGGCAGGACAGACTCCCCAGACACAGGTACAGACCACGGGCACCAAGCGGGGAGAGCCCGCCCCGTCACGGTTACAGACCGCGGGCACCAAGCGGGGAGAGCCCGCCCCGCCAGCG